TCCTCTCCAGCATAAATTGTCCTTGGTGTTTTTGATTTTAGCCATTCTGACAGGTGTGAGATGGTATCTCAGAGTTGTTTTGATTTGCATTTCCCGGATGGCTAAGGATGTTGAGCACATTCTCAGGTGCCTCTCAGCCATTTTAGACTCCTCTATTGAAAATTCTCTATTTAGTTCTGCAGCCCACTTTTTAATTGGATTCTTTGGTGTTTTGGAGCCTTGATTCTTGAGTTCTTTGTAAATTTTGGAGATCAACCCTCTGTCAGATGTGGGGTTAGTGAATATTTTTCCCATTTTGTGGGCTGCCTTTTTGTCTTGCTGACAGTGTCCTTTGTCTTACAGAATCTTCTCAGTTTCAGGAGGTCAGATCAACTGTTTCTGTGGGTTTATCCAGCACCATCTTGGCTCGTTTGCTCATCCCTCCTACCTGGATTCCAGGAGTATATGGCTCAGTGTTTACCTGTGGGTCCCTGTCAGGAATTTGTCATGAATATTTTTAGAGTTAACATTTTCTTTGACTAATGTGTCTGCTTTATTCTGTCATATCTCCAGTGCCTGATATTGTCTCTTCCATCTCTTGTATTTTGTTGGTGATGCTTGCTTTTGTACTTGTGCTCATATACCTACATTTTTCATTTCCAGATTTCCTCTTTTATGTTCTTATTGTTTCTATTTCCACTTTGAGATATTGAACTATTTTATTCATTTCCTTCAACTGTTTTTTTTTCTTGGCTCCCATTTAAGGATATATTAATTTCCTCCAATTGTTTGTTTGTTTTTTCCCCTGATTTCTTTAAGATGAGGTTCTATGCCAAACAGCCGGACAGAGGTGTCCCTGCCCTTAGCAATGCAATCAGCAATCTGATTGGTTATTGAATAGACTCTTGGGGGCACCACCAATCGAGAGGTGAATCCAATGTATGGGCTCACCCTCTTGTGCTAATAAAGCGGTAAATAACGTTTCCCCAGGAAAAATGTAAAGGGTGAGGGGCAAGAGAGGATCATACCTCCTTAAGGTTGCTGTGTGTATGGCCTGTTGAATTCTGTAAATGATCATCAGATAGAATGATCTGTGAGGAGAGATCATGACCTTTTAGTGGGTCTAACAAATGAGCTAATTCCTCAGTAGTTATAGAAATCAAGGACCTCAGCCAATTAATTTCCCCCAATGTCTTTTGGAGCTGGTGAAAGGTATAAGAATCCTGAATGTGAAGTTGAGGTTTAACAGTAGAGACAGTATTAAGAAACAAAATGGAACCCAAAATCTTAAAAGGAGGACTAGTCTGAATCTTTTCAGGAGCCACCTTAAAATCATTGGCCTCTAATATGGCAAGACATTTGGCAGTAATATGGAGGTCAGATGGGTTAGAACAACCCAAAATAATATCATCCATATAAATATAGAATAATATATCAGGATGACCAATCAAGGAAGAAAAAATATGTAACATATAATACTGACAAATAGGAGGGCTATTGGCCATACCCTGGGGTAGGACGGTCCATTCAAATCTTAACTCTGGCCCGCAAAAATTTGTTGAAGGTATGGAAAAGGCAAATTTTTCTACATCAGCTGGATGTAATGGGATAGAGAAAAAACAATACTTAATATCAATAATAGCTAAATAATGGGTGTTGGGAATGGCTGGAATCCAGGGGAGTCCCCTTTGCGGGGTCCCAAAAGTTATCATTCTCTCATTTATTTTCCTCAAATCATGTAAAAGCCTTGAAGAGCCATTGGACTTTTTTTTTCTTTTTTTAAATAACAAAACCCAGGGAATTCCAGAGGCTTGTTGAAGACTGGTAGAGAACTGGTCAGTGGTGCCCAAAAGCATGCAAAAATTAATTTAGGACCACAGGGAGGGCTTTCTGATTTCATTCTGCCTGGATGTGACATTCATCCTGAAACAATGGGCTCCACTTCAGAAACATGATCAGGGAAGGACTATCCTAGCAAGGTCCTTCCAATCCAGGGTTTGGGCTAAGCCCTGGAGGATAGTCTCCACCCAGGGGAATTAGGTCCATCCTCTGAGATGCGTTTTTGAACTCATTTATATCATGTGCTTCCCAGGAGTACCAGGCAGCTGGGCGGTTGCCACCAGGGTTAACATTGACAGGAAAAAGATTGGTCATTTCTCCCCCAGAAGCATCCTCCCTGCAGTAAAGCAGTGGTGCAGGGGGTTCCAGAAAGGATTGGGGGGGGACCTGGAAGTGGCATGACCTTAGATTGCCAAGGAGCACTTTCAAAAGAAGTCTAGGGATGAATACAGAGACACAGGGAGGTGTGAGGGACTAGGATTTAGCTTTGGTTTTTCCTGAGTTTCTTTAACTACTTTTGTCCCTTTCTGGATTGGTGCCTCCCTCTCTCCCTAGGGGGCTGAGGGGGGAAGCAACCCTTTAAGGCAGACACTATTGGGAGGGTCCCCTTTTCCATCTGAGCTCTCCTAAAACCGTATCCCAAGTATCCCAGCCAGGGAGCAATCTTGAGCAAACAGCCCCAGGCCTGGAGAGCCTAGTTACCAGAAAGATTGAGACCTCTACTTTTAAGTAGGACCCGTAAAAAATTTCTAGGGTAGGGTTAGATTTGGACAAAGACTGCCCCATAATTCATGGAGGTACACTCACCCGCAGAACAATTGGCCAGTCAGCATACTTCCGTTCCTCACATGAGGCACCATCTCTGCAGGGTCCTCCCTGCAGGTAGAGCTGGGGAAGGGCCAGTCCAGCCAGCCTCTTCCCAAGGGCTGAGCAGCATGGTGAGTATCGCTGACACAGACCCTCCCTCCATTAGTTACCAGGGTGAAAAAAAAACCACACTGAGTCGGGAGTCTGTCAAAGCAGGATCTCTATTTATTCCAACACACAGGAATCTTAGGATAGGGTAAGGTGACATGAGTTAAGGGTCAATAGTATTCCACCAAGTAGGCAGGTTGATAGGCAGGGGGCAGTCTTGCATCAGATCTGGCTGAGTCACCCCCTCGTGGAGGTTACAGGTTAGAGATAGGTCGCTAAACTCTAGCCAGGCTCAGGAGCTTACACTGGGCCTCGAATCCGAGCCTATTCAATAACCAATCAGATTGCTGATTGCATTGTTAAGGGCAGGGACACCTCTGTCCGGCTGTTTGGCATAGAACCTCATCTTATTGTTTCTCCCTTTAAGACAACAGATGTCACCTGGCTTCAGAGAAACAATAGCAGGATTGCTATGGCTCTTGAGGGGTTTCTGGGTAAAGTTGATTTTTATTATGGTCCTCACAAATGGATGAGCTCCTTCTTTAGATTAAAGTGGAAGCCCCCCAGATTTTTTTTTACCTCAACCCTACCTTGGCTTTCTTACTGTGTTTACTTATGGGGGAAGCCTGGGGGCTTCTTTAGTCATTTATCCTCCCTTAGACCATGGTAAAGAGCCAGTGCCCATAAAGTAAGTCTCCCATTAAGTTGAGGGGGGTCAGCGTAATTTAAGGAACTGTGTGCTGTTGTTCTTGTGTTAGACACTATTCAAGAGTCATTTAACTTATTCTCTGACAGACTTTATGTTGTTAATTTGTTACCCAACCTAGTTGAGGCCCATATTAAGCTGGACTCCAATCCTATATCACCTTTAATGATTCAAGGCTGCTCCCTACTGAAAGAATGAACTAACCCCATTTTTCTTCAACATCTCAGGAGTCATCAAAATTTGCCAGGATTTCTTTCTGAAGGAAATAATTTGGCTGATAAATTGACTTCTATGCCTCAGTGTAATACTGTTACAGAAGCTACATGCTTCTACCTACTGACTGTTGTTAAAATGTCTAGGTTCCCAGTCAGGGAACCAATGTTGTTAAAATGTCTAGGTTCATCCAGTAACCAGACACAAACCGTGACTCAATGATCCCATGTGGAGTTTATTGGTAGACAGGGAGGAAAAGGGGGCTGAGAGGTAACCGACCTGTACAGAGCTGAGAGAGAGATAAGATATATGAGAGAGAGATAGACAGAGACAGAGAGACAGAGACAGAGACAGAGAGAGGAGAGAGAGAGACAGAGAGAGAAGATGAGATCAAGAGAAAGACGAGAGTAAAAGAGAGTGTAAGCAGGCAGGGGTCAGTCCTTTAAAGGGGTCCTTTGAACCTTCGTGGTTCTCACAGAACTCTGGGCTGGCCAGAGTGTTGCCTGAGTGCATCTTGCCAGGTAACAGGGCAGGCCAGCATAATGCCTGCACTTTTCACTGACCCATGTTAATTGGAGGGGTGTTAAATATCCACTTGTGCCAGTCAAGGACCTTAAAAAGATTGTCCAAACTTCTAAGTCCTGCCAGCCTTTCCTTCAGATGCCAACCCCCTCCAAACTAGTGGAAGCAACCCTCGAGGGCTTCGTCCTAATAATCTTTGGCAAATTGATGTTACTCATTATTCTCCATATCCATTTGAAAATTTAAAGTATATTTTTCTCGGGGGGAGGTGCTAAACATGCTATTAGCCATATGCTTCAATGCTTTGCCACCCTTGGTTTGCCTGATCAGATTAGGACAGATAATGGCCCATGCTTTGTAACTTCCTTAAGACTTGGAGCATCTCAAACTCCAAGGCATCCCACACAATCCTCGGGGCCAAGCAGTTGTGGAAAGGTATAATCAAGTTCTCAAATCTCAATTACAAAAAAAAAGCAGGAATCTATACCCCCATGATCAATTAAGAAGGGCATTATTCACCCTAAATAGTTTAAATTTTTCTAAATAAGATAAATACCTGTCTCCATTTCAATAACATTGGTCCTCATCGGTTACTTACAGTTTTGTTTGGGTCAAATGGAGGGACCCATTGACAGGGGTCTGGAAAGCACCAGACCCCCTCCTCTCAGCAGGGAGAGGATTTGGATGTGTCTTCCCTCAAAATGAAAAATACCCATTTGGGTACCAGTGAGAGACCTAAAATATTTGTCCCAACAAGGGGACAATGACCATCACTTCTCCAGGGAATGTTCCACCCCTGAGAAATGTGTCTCTGTTTCCCCTCCAGGAACAAATGAAGATGTGGGTGATGCTGCTCTTCCTGGTATCGATGATGCTCATCCTGCCCAGTGATGTAGGATTTGGAAACCCACATGATGCCAAAGTTATCCTGGCTCGCCTGATGGGGAAACCCTGTGGTTGCCAGGGTGGAACACACTCAGTATCTCCCTTTAGTGGATGGGTCATACAACAGGTAGATTGTGATACCAAGATAGCAGTCAATATGATTGACACATCAAATTCCCTTTTTTCAAATTCCAGTATGTGGATATGCATAAAGAAGCCCAAGATTATCCTCCAGGTTGATGGGAAGCCAGGACCTTGTCCTTGCACTGCTTTCTATCTGACAATGCATATGGCCTGCTATGGCATTTCCCAAATGTGCACCAGTAGTTCCACTAAAAAGACTTACTGGACTGGGGTCTGAAATAGAGTGCTCTCTGGAGGTGAGAGTGATTGGATTGTAAGAGATGGAGGGAGTGCCTCTGCCTCTTGCTTTGGAGCCCCAGGTGAAACTGTTTCCTGGGAACTTGCCCCCCTATTGGTTATTCAGATGGTGGGGGTGCTCAAGATCAGGTTAGGGAACAAGAAGTTCATAAAAAGATAGAACAACATGTTTTGGCCCAGTACCCAGAGCTCAACTATCACCCTGTTGCTCTCCCTGAAAATTGGGGTGAGCTAGCACTTGATCCCCAGACTGAGTCGATTCTACAAATGGTCTTTGCCTTACTAACTCAAACGACTCCCTCCCTTGCAGACGATTGCAGGCTTTGCCTCCAATCTGGACCTCCTCGGCTGCTTGCAGTGGTCTCTAATGATACAATTACAGATGCCTCTGCTTCTATAAAAGATTGCTTGGCCACATTTCCCATCCGTGTCAAGCTCCTCCCAATGTCACTTTCTGGGGCTTGCATTTGGACCCTGCCGACTACTGATAAATCCAGAATAGATGTGGGCTACATTGATCCATTTTTCTGTAATTCAAATACAACCAAATCTAATGATCAATGCTGCCCACCTTCTGGAATGGTCTTTGTGGAGGTGGGATGGCATATGACTTCCTGCCTCCCAAGTGAACAGGCCTTTGTGCCCCAGACACCTTGATTCCTGATGTGGATATTATTCCCAGGGATGAGGCTCTTCCTGTGCTCTCTTTTGATTACATTGACAGGAGACTGAAGAGGGCCATACAGATGATTCTTTTACTTGCTGGCTTGGGAATATCTGCAGGTATGGCCACTGGGGCTGCAGGGCTAGGCACGGCATTTGAGCTCCACAGACCGCTCTCTGCCCAATTGGTTAGTGACATAAAGGCCGTGTCTAGTACTATTTTTGATCTCCAAAAGCAGCTTGATTCCCTGGCTAATGTAGTCTTACAGAACCGAAGGGGATTAGACTTATTAACAGCTGAAAAGGGAGTCATGTGCTTGTTTTTACAGGAAAAGTGTTGTTTTTAACGCCAAAAGATCAGGAATCATTCAGGACAAGATCAAAAGGCTTTAGGAGAACTTGGAGAGGAAACGGCAGGACCTCAGGGAAAACCTGCTGTGGACTGGCTTAAAATGGCTTCTTATCCTATCTCCTTCCCCTGCTTGGGCATCTCCTCCTCCTCCTCCCTATCCTCACTATCGGGCCCTGCATGATTAATAAGGTCATGCAATTTGTTCGCCAACAGGTAGAGGAAGTACAACTTCATTAGGTCAAAGTTCATTATCATAGGCTCACTACTCAGGAGCCAGGCTCCTTGTGACTGGCAGTCCTCATACAAGCATCCCTCCTCTGCCCTCCACCTGACCAGTGACAGGCAACTTCTCAGATAGACTGGGACATCCTAAGATAGGTCATAGAATAGTCCTTCAACGAGCTGGATACATGGTACTCAGGGACAGGTAAAGTTCCCAATGGGGGACCACCTAAGACAGAGGCCATGATTTCGTACAAAAACAAGAGGGGGAGATGTTGGGCCTAAGAAAGGCTTGGATGCTAGGCCCAGTGTAATCTCCTGAGCCTGACTTGAGTTTGGGCTCAGATGTGAGGCCCAGTGTAACCTTATGAGCCTGACTAGAATTTAGTGACCTGTCTCTAACCTGTAACCTCCACGTGGGGGTGACTCAGCCAGATCTGATGCAAGATTGCCCCCTGCCTAGCTACCTTCCTGCTTGGTGGAATACTATTGGCCCTTAACTCCCCATGTCACCTTACCCTATCCCAAGATTCCCATCCCCTACCTCATTCCTATATAAGTTCCTGCATGTTGGAATAAATAGAGATCCTGCTTTGACAGACTCCAGACTCAGTGTGGTTTTTTTCTCCCTGGTAACTAATGGGGGGAAGGTCTGAGTCAGGGACACTCACCATCCTGCTCAGCCCCTGGGAAGAGGCTGGCTGGGCCAGCCCTTCCCCCGCTCTACTTGAAGGGATGACCCTGCACACATGTACCTACATATGTAGGGCACACATATTCATACACCATACATAGAAATATTTAAAATTATTTACTTCTAAGTTTAGTTTATAGACATAAAATGTTTGTTCAAAATATTCATACTAACACTTAAAGGCATAAGTAAAAGTATTCAAACAATTTTCTCCTGCTAATGCTACTTTTTTACAGAAAGCATAAGAATGACCACATAGACACTGAAATCATTAATTACATGACTCAAGGAAAACTATAACTGGGAATATATAACTATTGCTATAAATTATGATTGTGATTATGATTATTATTATACTTTTTCAAGGCAGGGTTTCTCTGTATAGTCCTGGCAATTCTGGAACTCACTCTATAGATCAGGCTGGCTTGCTGTGATTTTTAAAATAATTTTATTGCACATATTCATTTATGTATCTATGCATACACATGTGTGCTACATATGAGTGTGGAGGCCAGAGAACAACTGAAGGAAGTCAGTTTGTTCCTTTCACCACATGGGTCCCTGAGGTAAAGCTTGACAGTAAGTTCCTTCAGTAGCTGGATCATCTAGCCAGTCACTTCCTTGTATTACAATAGTCAAATATTGAAGAAGCAGAGGCACCCATTAAACAACAGTAACCTTCCTGGGCTCAGAATTAATCACTATATATATGTATACTATCTCTGCTGACTATAGCCTTCCTCTGGGTAACTGAAATTTAACTACTCAATTCCTGCTATAGTTTCCAATAAATACTCTCACATGCATGAAATATAGAATGTATGCATGCTCTTCTATATTTCTGAGATCCACACTGACATATTGATTCCACTTCATAGCTGTCCTTTAAGCATATGAAATTTATGTTAAAGATAAAAAATAAAATCTATCTTGTTTTCTTTCTTCTTTTTAAATTTAAATAAGAAACAAGCTTGCTTCACGTGCCAATCCCAGCTCCCTCTCTCTCCCCTCCTCCTCTGCCTCACTACAATCCCCCCAACACTCCAGCCACTCCCTACTTTGCTCCCTATGGAGGGTGAGGCCTACCATAGGAGATATCTAGAGTCTGTCATTTTATCCAGGGTAGAGCCTAGGCCCTTCCCCTGTGTGTCCAAGATGAGAGAGCATCCCTCCATGTGGAGTGGGCTCCCAAAGTTCATTTGTATGCCATGGTAAGCAATGATCCAGAGATTGCCTTGGCCTCCTCACTAACACCCATATTCGTGGTTTCAGGATGAGTCTTATGCTGGCCTCTCAGCCATCATTATGGGGTCCATGGGCTCCCCTTGTTCAGGTCAGCTCTTTTTGTGGGTTTTAGCAGCCTGGGTCCAGGAGTTCAGTTCAGTGTTTACCTGTGAGTGTCTGCCTCTGCTTCTGTCAACCACTGGATGAAGGCTCTAGGATGGCATGTAAAGTAGTTGTCAATCTCATTATTGGGAACAGCTTTTAAAGTAGCCTCTCCACTATTGTTAGTTTGCCAGTTGGTGTCACACTTGTAGATCTCTGGAAATCACACTAGTGCCAGATCTCTCCTCAAACTTATGATGACTCCTTCTATTATGGTATCTCTCATCCTGTTATCTGTTCTTCCCTCAACTCAACCTTCCTGCTCCTCCATGTCCTCCTCTCCCTTCTTTTTCTCCCCCTCTCTTTTTCCCAACTCCCTCTCCCCTCCCACCATGTTCCCAATCTGCTCATGAGATCCTGTCTCATTCTCCTTCTTTAGGGTACCATGTATATCTCTCTTAGGGTCCTCCCTGTTTCCCAGGCTCTCTGGCAGTGGGATAGTAGGCTGGCATTCTCCTGATGAACCTGGAAGCAACCTAGATGCCACTCAACTGAAGAGTGGATACAGAAAATGTGGTACATTTACACAATGGAGTACTGCTGAGCAGAAAAAAAAAACCAATGGAATCTTGAAATTTGCAGGCAAATGGATGGCACTAGAAGAAACCATCCTGAGTGAGGTAACCCAGTCACAAAAAGACAAACATGGTATGTACTCACTCATAAATCAATCTTCTACAAATAAAAGATCAGCATGTCCATGTGGCCATCCTGAGTACCTTCCGACTGCAGTCTGACATCTTGTATCCTCCTATGGGTGCCAGTAGGTAGCTCTCTGTGATCTCTTGTACAAGGACATTAATCCTGTCAATCTGACCTTCACCTTAGTAACCTAATACTATTTCAATGGTCACTTCTAAGTATCATTAGATTGTGGGGTTTAGGATTTTGATAAATGATATCAGAGGAACACAATGAATCCATAATTCTGTAGGTAATTCTTTCTTTATCTTTATGTTACTCTCAACAAAGACTGAGATGTTTAACAAGGCTGTTTAATTTCCCTATAAAATTGATTATCCTGATGATTGGTTGGGAGTGATTAATCTTCCTCAAAAGTATAAACATGAAAATGGCAACTTTAAATGATGAAATGTTTGCAGCAGACATTACAATGATTTGCAGTTCTTGGCTGTTTCCTGATTATTCAAAATTTCAAAGTATTTTCCATTGTGAATCATCAGTCATACAACAACCCTAGAATTAATCTTCACTTTTCCTCACATAAATCAGGAAGTTCCATCAAGGACTTCATTTCATGATGACAGGGAACTAAAAATAATCTTGATTAAAGATGAAAATGGTCATGAGAACACTCATTTGCCTGGATGTGATTTCAAAAAGTGCTCTCTACCTTTTGAATATCAAATATGTTTCATGAAACAAAATGTCATTTCTATTTTGTGATGTATGAAAAATGACTGTAGAGTTTTTCCATTATGAGTGAATGGAATAGCACTCGCTATAAGTATAAGAAAGCAGATAACATATACTTTACATGGTTTACTTAGCAGATCATAATATATGCATATATGCAATTACATGTGTGTGTGAATTTTTGCTCAATGATTTTATCTCTATTTCCTTTCCTTCTTTTCCCACCCCACTCTTATTTGAGAAATGTCTCAATAGAAAAACAACATTAGCTTTTTCCTGGCCTTGAATACATGATCCCTCTGTTTCAGCTTCACCAATCCAAGTGCTGGATTAGAAATGTATACTGCCATACCTGACTCCAGTTTTGGTCTCAAATGGAGTGATAGAAACTATTCAGGATCTTTGGATACATGCTTGTTATTCTGGAAGGAAATTTACGTGAGAAGCCTGCTGAAGATCCTTGCATTACTAAACAGTTAAAAGGAGTATAGCCTGAGACATGCAGGATGTATGGTGCATAGACACAGAAGCCTTCTAAGACAACTCTCAAAGATCAAATCTTGAGCACTTTTATGCAATGACATAAAAGAAATGGCATTATATTAATATCTATCTGCATGACCTGCTGATATGCCAATAACTCACTCAACCAATAAGAATAGAAATCTAACCTACAGAGGAAGTCAAGATGTAACCACTGTAGGAATAAGAAGCCCGGAAACTTCTCGGTAAGAGAAATACTTAGATTTCAATTATGGGATACATACTTAAGTCAGAGCTAGCCAGTAAGAAACATGCAAGGCCAACAGCTTCATAATTAATACAGCATCTTGTGTGTTATTTGGGAACTACAAGGCAGCAGAGCCCAGGAGACTGGCAGGGGGATAAACCAAAACTGCTGGCAAGGAAAAGTCTTCTCTTTACATAATGGTTGTCAGGAGCGGGATTGAATTTCCAGGCAGAATGACAAAAGCTTTAAAGGAGTTTTAGAAACAAAAGAACAGAGAAAAGCATGGGTTCTTGGTAGCAGCATTTTTCTCAGTTGGACTCTGATTTGCTAGCAACAAGCAGACTCACACGGCTTGCCTAAAGGAGTCTTCCTGTCTCAGCATAAGCAAAAAACAACAACAACAAAAAAAAACAGTAAGGTTCTTTTAAGAGACTCTGCTAACGATTGAAAGGTGTATCCATACAGCTGGAAGTGGCAATGACCACATCTGCAAGCCGGCGGCTTTTGCTGGATGTCAACATAGACTGAGACAGTGAGCTGGAATCACACTTAGGCCCGCCATCTTGGAAAAACTGCAGTTTAAACAGCTGCAGTTTTAACAGGCAAGACACGTGGCCAGAAAAACACAAAGATTTACAGTAAAGTCAGACTTGCATGAAGAAAAACCTCTAAAGGTTTACAGTGTGTTTAAAATTATACATAGAATTGAGACAGAAAAAGAAACAACATAGTGGTAAATAAATAGAGAAGCTGGCTGTGGTGGCACAAGCCAGTAGGATTTGCTGCAGAGGCAGAGGCAGGCAGATTTCCAGGGAAACCCTGTCTCAGAGAAATAAATAAAGAAATAAAAGTAAAAGAAATAGAGTAATAATAATAGATAAATAAATAAGCCATGTAAAGATGGAAAATACACAGAAAGTCTGGATACTGTATACTATTGTGTTTCTCAGTTTTTTGATTGCTCAGGAATCACTTGGTTATGAATGCTGCTGAATTAATTCCACTTATATCTTTTGAAAATGCCTTGACTTCAAAATTTAATTATAAGGATATGTTACTTGGGAAAGGAGTTTTTGTTTATGTTTCTACAAAAAATGAAAAGCTGAGAATTCCTTCCAGGCTTTTGTGGTTTGATGAACCAAGACACCCGGAAGCAATGGCTCAAGTGATTCAACATCTAAAACAGATAAGATGATGCAGCTTTACAGACCACGAAAATAAGGATTATACAGGTTTCTGAGTGTTATCATGATCCCCATGGAATGAACAGT